ACCCTAGGCACCAGCCTGACTCCAGGGCTGCCAGCATTGCAGACATTTACAACAAACATATGCTAATTCAGAAGGTTGCCTTTCCAAAATGTTCTTAATTTGGTATATCAGAAAACTGCCCAGCGCTGCCCTCCAGTGGCGTGAGAAGCTCCTCCTGAGCAGTGATAGAATGACAAGGGAGGTTTACAAGCATGTTGGATCCTTTTGGCAAAAATAGCAGCAGAAAGGCCTCTCGAGGGTCAGCACAACTTCAAAATGCTCTTAGATCCAGGCAATGTATTGGACACATCCTTCTTCCTGCTGTAATATTTTACTGCAGAACATGTTGCCTGAGCCCTTTTTAACACTGTTAGCTGCTTCCTGTTAGCTGATCAACGTCTCATCTATCCATCTGCCAGAAGAGGCCCCTTGGAAGGGATTCACCTCCACCGAAGCAGCTGTAAGCAGTGGAAGAGGATCAAAGGGGCTTAAGGTTGACCTGCAGCACTCCAGCAGGGTCTCACATAGATCAAAGGGTACATAGCTTGTTAGAGCCTGACTTCTATAACTTCCCTTAGAGATAACTTGGCAGAAGTGTAGCCCCATCTCTACTGTGTCCTGCTCTGTGTATGTCGTGGGTGGGTTCGTACAGTGAAGAAGAAGCTGTAGTTGCTGTGTGTGTGGAGGATATCCTTCTTATGGTTCTGACCGTTCTTTTTTTGGAATGAGGTGTGTAATGAAGATCTCTGCACAAGCAGCCAATACTGCAAAGCAGAGTAGGTAATTTCAGACTTCAGGCAAGTCTGCTTCAGTTTTGTCCCCTCAAATCCTAATCCTGGACCTCCCATAGTCTGCAGATAAATACAGGAGTCTCCCGAGAAATTGCTGGTAATACTGATTAGGATACTTAAGCTGTCATTTCTCTGTCTAAGCGATAGTCTTTTACGAGGGCCTGGTGTTGACCCCGTTTCTGTTAGGGCAGGGTTTCGCTGGGCACCGTTCGCTGTCCGTAGCTGTATGACTGACATAAATCCCGCGTGAGGCCGGTACCTCCCGGGAGTGACGGGCCTTGCCACGGGATGGCGCCCGGTGGCCGGGCTTGCAGGGCTGCGGGTCCGGCCTGAGGGAGAGCTCGCCCCCGTGGGAGACGTGCTATATTCGGACTGAACGCAGAGAGGTGTTTCCTATGAAATTCTCATAAATAAATGTTCATTCTGCCTCTGTCTTACTAGACTACCAACCCTCTTCTTCCACAACACTACAGTTTTATCTAAAATAGATCACTGTGTTCCAGGAAAGTGAGACTGGGTCAGAACTCACCATCCAGTGCAGGGCTCTGTTGAGTAACTGTGTAGCAACTTTCTGCTAGTTCTTGTCGTGCCCATTGTTTCATTGTCATCGCTTATGACTTGCCAGGGTTGTATGCTTATTACTCTTACCAGGCCGCATGATTTACTTGCCGTCAGTTCTCGTTAGCAGTTATAGGAAACTAAATTTATTGTGTCTGTGAAGTGCAGTTAGGATGTCTTAAGACTGGAAATGTTATGTGATTTTGCCAAGTTTTAACAGCAACTTAAAAGTTTTGACTCACAAACAAAAGCCTTCCTTGACTCCTCTGGTGTGTGGATGTTGCAGTAGGTCTCACGGTGCTCAGTGTGCTCCGAGGCACTGCCCTGCAGTGACTAAGGATGTGTCTGGTGTCATTGGTTTCGCAGCACTGGTGATACATGGATTAATGGATTTTCAACTCTCCCGTTTTCACACAATTGCCTTGGCTTGACTTTGTGCAGTGCAGAAGGGGCATCTAGTGGCCAGATGAAAAATTTGCCTCTCATTCAATAGGCTGGAAATTCCAAAACCTGAACTTTAAGAAAATGTCTCTGCCACTTTTCAGCAATGACTGAGAGCAGAAGAGCATACTGAAGTATTTTTTTGCACACTGTGTTTGAGTAGAACTGGAAGTTTTTTTCTTAATTAGCTCAGCTTCCTATGTTCCAAGACCATAGCCACTGTTAGTATCGACTCCTTTATTTATGGTTGTGCCTAATAACACCCAGAAGGTGAGGCTGGGGAAAAATCAGAAGTTTCTGATGCTGCTAGCTTATGTTCTTCAGAAAAGTAGGTTTGTATTTGGTGATGAGATTCCAGAGCTGTAAGGAGGGAAGGTGAGACTCTGTCCTCCGAGGCAGTTATAACACTTGACAGCAGAGAGGAATGCCTTTATTCTACCAGCTTCTGTCTGTGATAATGACCATTATATCACACGTCTAAACTCTGGTATCCAATTTGTAATATTAGGATTATTTTAAACCCTGTGTAAGGAAAGATTATGAAGCTTGTGCAATGTACATTGTTCTCGAAATGGAAGGTGCAGTCTATTTTGCTTAGGTACCTTGCTGTGCAGCTCATTCTGAACTGTTGGTAGAAAAATACATAGCATTGTTTTGTGAAAACTGTACAAAAAAGTATAGAATAAGAGGACAGAAAGGCTCTGCCGAGTACCCCAGACCTACTCTCTCCCTTTTCTCTTAATCCAGCTTGCCTACTGCTGCCCCATTTTCATGCATTTCCGGCTTGCAAAGTTTCCTGCCTACTGGCTGAGAATAGAAGCCTTGCTGTTATGCTAGCCTTAAGTCTCTTGTAATGAGTGTTACACAGGCAAAAGCAGCTGTGTCCTTTGGCTCTAGTTTTAATACTATGTTAAAGAGCAGATTATACTGACGTTGGACTGCGGTGATGCAGAGGTAGCACAAACCATGGCCAGTTTGGGGAAGGCTTTAGCAAGGATGACTAAGGACTTGGAGCTTATGCTTTAGATAACAAATCCACCCAGTTGTGCTCCTTTGGAAATGCAGTCAAGCCTAACAAATCAGGGCCTTAGCAGAGTTGCATTAGGGTCCTTTAATTGGACTAAGCTAGTTGGCTTTTGTATGCCCAAGGGTCCAGCACAGAAGTGATGTGCTGTTTATGCTGGCAAAATCTCATAAAAATGCAGCCATGAACCCTGAAAAAATTAAATTCTAGTATCTTTACAAATAGATACTGGATTAGGTGTTTTGATTATTATAAGGAAGTCTGAGTTCTTGACTACGTGGGCTTCATTAGCTTGTGTTTTGAGTGATACTAAACAAGCCTTAAATCCTGACAGACCACTTGGATATGCTAGCAGTTAACAGTGGTCATAGAGAGCAAACAAACACTTTTTTTTTAAGAGGATCATCTCTTGTAACCTGCTTCAACCCCAAAACCCACAATGTGTGCATCCTGGCAGCAGTACAGGCACGAGAGTCGCACCTTGGTCTGGAAGATTTTGGCTGAGAACTATATACTGCTGCCAGTTCCCCAGGCCCTGTTGGGACAAATGTATGGGCTGCACGAGACATAAGCCTCTGTGGCAGAACCTCCACTTTCTTATGTGTAGGGATGTTACACTAATGCTGTTTTGTGCAAGCTGAGCATGTCCTTCAGGTGGACATACAGGCCATGAATTACTATGGATTGTTTTATTTCCCAAGCATTGTGAAGTATTGCACTAGTTGACTTACAGAAGAGGGTGTATTCAATCAAGGATGAATGGTGCTTTCTTGCAGTGCTAATTGTGCAATGGATTCATATGTATTGGCTTTGATTTGGAAAAGATGGGTTGTTAGGAGCAGGTGAGACAAAAAATTTCTGAGCAGAAAGATTCTGTTCATGTCAGTATTTGGTGAAGTCCCTGACAGCAAAATGAGAGAGAGAAATGAGTTCCAGATGGTTGTGGTAACTGGCAAGAAACTAATACTGAGGCTGATCTTGAGAAAACAGACTGAAGACACCAGAGATGAAAGTGGGGGCAGGGTGGTCCAGATAAGGTTGATAACACATGATACATCATCTTTGGAGCATTCCAAGGCAGGATAGTGAGATGACCCATTTGTTCCTGAATGGCAGTGTTCTGGTGGGGAAAATCCTCCCATTTCCCTGCACAGGGCCTGTCAGCCTCTGCCTGCTCTGCAGGGATGCTGTGATAATGTGAATTACTCCTTGTAGGATTGCTGCTGTTTCCATTGTGGGCAGCCTGGTTCTGTCTGCACCAGTTCCTTGCTATCTTGCATGTTTCTTGTTTAAACTAGGAAATTTTATGGTATCTTACCTGCCTTCTATTTTTAGTTGTCAGGGGAAGGGTGAGGCAGTGTACGTAATTCTCATTACAGTTAATTTAATCCAATTGTGATGTGGATTTAGAGGTACTTAGTAGGTCACAACTGAGTGTGGGCTCTCTCTGTTTCCGGTTGCTCTCCTGAAACAATGGGCACTGATAAATTTTTCCACTTCTGAAACTAAACACATTCATCGAAAGGTGCTGATGGGGTTTGGTGCTTGTGTTAAGCAGATAGCTCTCCTGTTGATCTCCATAGCTGCTTCTTAATTAGGAAAAGAGGGTTCCTGAACTTTTTGTGTGTTTGTATGCCTTGTGGGCTCTCACACCTCACACATCACGTGTGAGAGCGAGCAGTAAAACCTAATGTGTTCTACCTCTGCACTTGGGGATTAACAGTGTGGGTTTTATGTCTTTTGTCTTATTTTCTCTTTGAACAAAGCAGCCTTTATCAGAAAATTATGACTGATCCTCAGCTGGAATTTTTTTGTAAACACAAACTGATACAGAAGTTGCATCCTAGAAATGACCTCAGGCCATCCAGGAGGAGACACCAGCTTAGTCTTCTTTATAACGTAGAGGGAATTCAAAAAGAGAAAGCAAAAATACACGCAAGGTCCTTTTTCCTCTCTGTCTGCTCCCGTGAATTTCCCGTTCCTCATTTCTCACCACCTTTGACAACCGAGGCTTTTTTCAGCCGCGGCCCCCTAAGCCCTCCAGCTGCTGCGCGGTAAATCCGCTGGCCCTGCCCGCTCAGTTCAGTCCGCGGGATCCAGGCAGCCTTTTCCCTCTGTTCCAGGAGCATGAGTGCAGCGCTGGAGAGCGGACAGGGACTCTGTCCACTCGGTTAGTGCTAGTGCCCAGCCCGGCAGAGCATGGATCCAGTGCCTGTAGTAGAGAGAATTCGCCCAAGTCCGTGATGAGGGGGGAGCCGGTATTTGCTGGCTTCCAACTGCTCTTTCTCCCCTGAGGTTTTTAGAACAGCCACTCCTAGAGTTGTCATGGAATTAAAGAAAACTGCATCCAGGGCGTACAATGCTGCTCTCCTGCTACCACTTTTCCTCTTGTTTTGGGGTAAGTTTTTGTCTTCTGTGCCTGATTCTTACCCAGCTACTCTGCAGTAACTTTGGATCAAATCTGTGCTCTGCCCTTGTATTGCTAAGGTAGGTGAACAAAATGTCACTTTCACAGTTAGATTTGAAGGCTGAAAACTTCTTGTCTGGAAGATAAACAGGCATTTCATTCTAGATATGTTTTTCCTTCTATTTACTTCTTGTGTCCTTTTGTCTTTCTCCCTGTGCACATGCATGTATGCATTTATTCACAAGATCTAAAAGTGTGTGCACTTTAATTAAAGTATTGACCTATTACAGTAACCATTTTCTCCACTGAAAATGTCTGAATTTTACAGTTGTGCCCATAAAGAAGAAATGCAGAGCTTTATTTACATTCTATATGCTTCAGAAACATATCTAGGCAAAAGAGGAGTGTGCCCAGGGAGTGTGTTGATAGGTTGAAGTGCCAGATACCTCTGGGAAAATGTAGAGTAAGAAGACAGTACATGAGCTGAGTATCCTCACTTAGAAATGTTGAGGAAAGGAGATCCATCTTGAAAGTGCAAGAAATTATGAGGTAACAAAAATGTCTATCACGCTGATGGAGGTTTTTGTTTTGGCTTGGGTTTTTCCACCTTGAAAATGTCTTTGGGTCTTTGGGCTCCTAAATTCACCCTTGCATACAATTTCTTATGCTCCCTGCAAAATAGATTTCTCTGTTTCTTCTGGAATGGGTGGCTGTAGATCTGCTGGGCCTAGACATCTGTTTTAGTCATCTAGGGATTATAAGGTCATGTAAGGAACATAACCAACCTTTTGCTGGAAAGTATGATTGGGATCGAACCCTGCTCTTTATCCTCTCCCTGGCACTGCCAGGCCAGTATCTGTCATAAAAGCCCCCTCCTTGGTTTCCAGCTGAGCTGGGACAGGAATGATCAATGATGTGAAGAAGGTGCAGAAAATACAGTCACAGTGCCTTTCCTGCTAGTGTCTGTTGAACACTGCATTTGGCATTTTCTCAAATTAGTGGGTGGTGTGTATGTACTTTTTCAGAGTTGGTGAAAGAAATTTTCAGCTTTTCCTTTGATTCCCTAAGTCTTCCCCCCCTCCCCCCAAAGCATCCATGAATTCCCTTTGCTCTGATCACCTCAGACTACAAATGTGAAAGTAAAAATAAGATTTTATTTTTCTCCATCTGTTGGGTTTGCATTTTTTTGTTTTGTTCTTTTTTTAATTATTTTTTTCTTGTACTGACTTCTTTGTCTGGTGCATTCACCCCAAGTGTCTGGAATTCCTCTGGCTACAGGGAAGCAGCAGGGCTGTCTTTTGTATCTAGTAACCATAGCTACTGGTTTGGAGTGTGAAGCAATTATGGTGGCTTTGTGTAGAGCAGAAGGAAGGCCCAGCCACTGTGTTGCTCAGCACAGGCTGCCAGAGAAGCTGGCATGTTTCTGGGAATTTGTGCTGTGTGACCATTGCTCAGATAGCTTTTCACTCATGGGTGAAACTTTTTTCTGGAACAATGATTTACTGAGAAAATTGTTTTCTTTTGGAGTGCAGGTGGATGACACATCTTGATAACAGCCAGCAAAGCTCAAGGGAAGTGGTAATATCTCCTGCTCCTATTTTGCAAGGGGAATTCTGCCAGATTTTAACTGTAGTTAGTGGTGGTATTTATGTAGCACTCGTAGAATCTTAAGGCCATAAGAAAATGCCTTTTCTTGCCCTTATGAGGCATTTTACTAGTTTTGTTTTGTTTCTAATTGAGTGTTAAATGTCGTTGAAGCACAGAGTGGCTAAGTTACTTGTTCAAAATTTTTGAGAAAATTCTGATTATCCAGATGTCCTATTGCAAGGTGTAACCATAAGATCATCCTGCAGCAGATCCACACCATCTCCAATTGTTTCATGTAAACTCCAGAGGGACAGTGGCACAGGCTCTGCATGTGACTCCAGTTTCACTGCTTCTGTCTGTGTAAGGGGCAGAGTTGTTCTTGGCTTAATTTCTTGTGTTCTAAAGGAGGTTCTGGAGGGCAGAACCGAGTGTCTACTCGTTTCTATTCCCACAACCATACCCAGGAATGAGCACAGCAATTCACATACCTTTGGCCTCTGACACCTATTGAGAGAGAACATGTGCAGACAAACCTTTTTTTCTGGTGGTTTGCTATCTGTTCTAATGCAAGCTCTTGAGATAAGCTAGGAAGTAAGGACAGTTTAAATCTTACTTGCTTCAAAACATGGAAACAAGTACAATCTTTTCAGCTGTTTTGTGGGTCGTCAGTACATTTAAATAAGAATTGGAAATTAAAGCTTGTGACTCAGTCTAATTAACTGAATACACAGGAAACCCCCGGTCTCAGTGTTTGATCTGTGGAAATGGCTGAGAGATCAGAGAATGTGTAAACCATGAAGGTCAGCTTGGAGGAGTGTTTATTAAGGGAAAATACTGGGGTGCACAGAAGATCAAAGAGTTTCTGTGGCAATATATGTAATACTATCATAAAACATGGATTTATAGTTCTTGTCTTTCTCCAAGTTCTAGATGCATGATAATAGGAATTTCACCTTCAAATCTGCATTGAAACAATGAGCAGATAATGAAAACAAGCTAGCTGGCTACTTGTTCTGTGTTAAGAGTAAGTTTAATTCCCTGAAGTGGTATTTCTGATTAATGCTGCTAATGCCTCTGACCATAACATTGGCACTGCTCAGCCTTGTGGATTGCTGCCCACCACTGGGCACCATTCACCAATTCTCTGGGCAAGCTGGGTGGGAGAGAGCCAGGAATCTACATTCTGCTTCTTTGAGGGGGCAAATACTGTGCATATTTCACAAGGGGAGACTGAGCCACATCTTCTGCTTGTCTTAATGAAGGTCCAGAGGTCTACGCCTTTATAAATTCTTTATCAATATTTTACACCAGTTGACTGTGTAAATACCTCTGGCATGGAAGAGGTCTGTCTTATCTAAAACCTGGCATACAAATGTTATGGTCTGCCATGTGTTGGTCTCCAGTAGTGGAGAAAAACAGCATCAGAAATAGGCTGGGAAGTGATGGATGCACAGTAGCCATCTCAGAATGTGGACAGGAAAAGCTGCAATCTGAAATGTGTGAAAGGACTTCACTAAAGGTTTTTCCATTAGTATCCAAACTGGTAGCTGGTTGAGGTACTGGGCTGTGCTGAATCTGCCAACTGTACAAGTTAAATCAAAGCCAGGAATAGTAAGATTCTTTTCAAAATGGCTCTTCTAAAAGATGCTGTAGGCATTATTAGAGTCTTGCTGGGCCACTTACTCAGTATTGTTTTAGAGATACTACCTGCTGCTTGCCAAAATTGATTTTTGATTGTCTGATCTTTATTTTGAGGGTTATTTTTAGTCATAATGTCATGTCTTGCTTCACAAAGGTTGTCAGATATGCTAAGATGACAACCTGAGATGATCATAATGATGTTTAGATTCAGTCAGCAGATACTTTTCACTGAAGAATAATTTCTTCCTTTTATACTGTTTGTGCAACAATAAAAATAATTAAATAGTTGCTATAGAAAAATTGAGAGGAAGAACTTGACTCTGGACACCAGGATTTTGAGGAGAATTTGATATATATGATCCAAATGGTGATTACACCTGATCATGAGACCAGGAAATTAAAACAAAAGCTGATGGGAGGTGGTTGGAGGGTGAAGGAGCAGCTGGTAGGTGGGAGCTACTTCAGCAGAACTGCTCCTGGTGGCTGGCAGAGGTGCTGAGCTGCTGCAGCTCATGGGTTTGGGAGTTGTGATCAAACATTAGTATTTTGGAAAGTTTCCCATGCCCACATCCTATTTTCTGATGTTGAATAGACAATCCCACTGTTAAAGCAGTTGTCAAAAGGTGCCCGTTTAACATATTAAAGAGGAATACAAGTTCTGGAATATTTTAGGCTAGGTGAAAAATCAGTGCCAATTATTAGCGTTTCATGAGCTTGTCAGTAGTCCCAGAGAATTTCAGGACCTTGTTTTCTGATGCTAGAATTACTAGGAGCAAGTGCTTTGCTCAGGTCTGGGAAGAAGGGGTTTAATCTCTCTGTGTCAATAAGGAAATGGGACTTGGAAAGCCCTGGGATACATAAAGCCACCTAAAAAGGCCTTGTCCAATCCCTGTACCAGAACAAGTGAGGGTACTTCCTGAAGGATTTTATTTTATTCTGCCATTACCTTCCCTAGCAGCTATGCTTCCCTTCCAATGATAGCAAGGGTGGGGGAAGGAGAGGGTGAACAGCATGAAGCCCCTTTTCAGGTTTGCCTTCCTGGTGTGCGGATCCTGGGAACAGGCCATA